AATATCAAAGTAGCTTTATTTAGCATTATATAGCTGCTTTAACTGAAAAGTGTAGAATAATAATTAAAACTTATATTTTATTCTTTTATTTGATGTACAAGTGATACAAAATAATCGTAACATTATTGAAACAGAATAGTAATTATTTAATTGTATAAGAAACCATTAATAAACAATTATGAAAGGTTGCTAAATGATGATACTAAAATAAAATCTTTAACATGTGAAAGTTCCATTCACGAATTTAACCTATCATAAAAACTGTAACGAATATCATTAATCTATTGTGTGTATTATTGAATTCAATGTGTATAATTAAAAGGAGGGATATGTATGAAACTACTTAATATAGAGAGTGGACAAAATGACCCGGATATGACTATCCTAGCCTTTTGATATATAAACTTTGTTATATTTATTTGTTACCTCTGCAAGGGTGGAGTGTTGTTTAAAGGCAATTTGCGAGGAGAGGCTGCAAAGAGCTATGAAAAGATAGCACGGAGAATGCAGGTGTCTACTGTCTGCATTTGTTGTTATTTACTGGTTTTTAAATGTTCCTAAGTAATTAATTGCTTACTTAATATCTCGGGAACTGTCACAGGATAAATTTGGGGATGTATATAAGCTTTTTCTTTTAATTAATCCAGAGGATGATAAACCTGTAGCTGTTGTTGTTCCAAGAAAAACCTTACAACCAGAGACTACAGGTGAACATTTTAGTTGGTACTTGATCTAATTACCCTTGTGGAAGTTGAAAATTAGAGAATAATGATGTTCACAATAAAGTTAAAAATTGCAGCTGTCCCAGAATGGTTTGCTGCGGCCGCTTTTGGACTGGTTACTGTATTTACCCTACTTCTCCGAAATGTGCCTGCATTGCAATCCAACTTACTGTATGAAAATTTTCCTTTTTGTCTTATGCATGAATAGATCTTCTCTCCCTTGGCTCAATGAGGATCAAGAATTATTTACACTTCAGTATTGGCTTCTGTTAAATAATTGAAATTTTCAGCCGTTGTAAACTTTTACCATTTCTTTTTATGTAAAGCTGCTGCTTCTATTGTAATTTTCTTCATGTTTCTTTTATAGATAAGTTATATTTTTTTATCTACTTGTGGAGGTCTTTGATTTAACCAAACAACTAGAGTAATATTGAAATATAAAAGTAGAAGAACTTGCAATATAACCCCAAGTATTTGAGGTACTTGGAACCTCCCCTCTCTTGAGATACGAATCAAGCCTAAACCAACTAAATTAATGCCTCCCTTCATCTCTTACCCCTTGCTCTATTTATAACAAATCCATTCGAACCAAATTTCTAACTAATTACAAAAACTATCTTTAATTACCTCATAGCATTCCTATCAGTCTCTGTTGCTGCTTCTTGACCTATTGTTTTCAGTCAGCATTTGCTTTCATATGTAAGATACTCATTAAATTTTTAGATATATTATTTTTGTTGCAGATCGGCTTTTGACAAACCTGAGTTGCTGCAAGATGGCCTACCTGGTGCCTTTGTAACTGCACTTGTTTTAGGAGCACATGAACTCAGCCATATATTAGTTGCAAAAAATGCTGGAGTTAAGTTTGGGATTCCATACTTTGTTCCTAGTTGGCAGGTGAGATACAGTTTTCCCCGAAGTGTTCTTTGATTGTAAAAAATTCGTCCATATTTTGCTGATTACCAAATGATCTATTTCGCCATTCAGCAAGTCAGTCATGAGGCAACCTCGTGACAGGCTTATGGGTGATGTTATTGAATTCTACTTGCATTCGTTTATTTATTTCTGATACCATTTGTGCTTTTTTTGAAACTTTTTTAAAATCTAAATGATTTTATTAGAACTCAGCCTTGTATCAGTTCCGGATTCAAAGGATTAGTAATGAGTTACAAAAAAACCTGATAAGCCATGGTGGTTCAAGAGTCCTGGGCCTTCTTACGAAAGACTCTTCCCTCATGCCTCTCCGCTTAAGCTTCTCTTCACTATTTATAACCACACTCTCCAACCTATGCTACTAGCGGATTTTTTTTGTTTTCTCTCCGTTCAATGCCTATCTACTCAGGAATTCTTTCCAAATATATCTTCAAATCTAATGAACTGTTTTGGTGGCAGATAGGCTCTTTTGGTGCAATCACTCGTATTATAAATATTGTACCCAAGCGTGAAGATCTGCTCAAGGTGGCATTAGCAGGACCATTAGCTGGGTTTTCTGTGGGCTTCCTTCTTTACATTCTAGGTTTCATCTTGCCACCTAGTGATGGCATTGGAGTTATAGTTGATGCTTCTGTGTTTCATGAGTCATTTCTTGCTGGTGGTCTTGGTAATCACAATTTCCCTTATTTAGAGATCTTTAGTAGCGAGTTATGCTTTCATGTCTTCCAAGTCTAAACTATGGGTGGAAAATCTAGCTAAACAGATCATGTGGCTTCTCCAGTATCCCTTTAACCAGTAACCAAACTGGCTGACACTTCCAAAAGCATCACCTGTCTCGGCGATTTAGCTATTACTTGAATGCCTTTTCCTCTGCTCTCTGGTTTTTGCGGTAGACATTTAACATCTATGCTATCCTATCCTTTCCATTTCTCAGCAAAGCTACTCTTGGGCGATGCCCTCAAGGAAGGAACTCCCATATCCGTGAACCCTCTTGTGATATGGGCTTGGGCAGGACTTCTCATAAATGCCATCAACAGCATCCCTGCCGGAGAGCTCGATGGTGGGAGAATTGCCTTCTCAATATGGGGGAGAAAGGTATGTGTGTTGTTTGAAGTTTTGTTGCCGCTTAAATCAAATTCCCCCATAGCCTCCCTTAGACGAAAAAGTTCATGAAATAAATTTATAACTCTAGAAAATGACTCTTGCTGATCAAGTTCTCATTTACAACAGGCATCGGCTCGAATTACAGGCGTCTCAATTGTTCTTCTAGGACTAGCCTCTCTGTTTAGTGATGTAGCATTTTATTGGGTGGCTTTGATATTCTTCTTACAGAGAGGTCCAATTGCTCCACTTTCTGAGGAAATCACTGATCCTGATGACAAGTATGTTGGTCTTGGAATCCTAGTTTTGCTTTTAGGATTGCTGGTCTGCTTACCATTCCCCTTCCCCTTTACAGAAGAAGCCATCACAAATTTTTAATGCTCCAGCCCTTTTTTATATAGTTTCTGGTGTGCACTGGTAGCTTAGCTACTCAAAACTTAGAAGAGTCCCCCCAATTCCATTTTAGTAGACTCCATTTTGCAGTTCAATATGTCTAAAGCCCTTTTTTTGTTTTTATTTTTTCAGTTCTTTTTAGTGTAGTTGATATATAATTTACCTTCGAACGGAAAATGAAAAACCAAAACCAAAAGAGTGTATATTGATGTTCTTTTACAATCCTGAGATGGTTTCTTTTTACCCAGTGTTTTTTTTAATACAACATGTGGGATGGAAGAACGAACTCACAACCTCTTGGTTAGAGATATATGTCAATTAGCTCAACTATGCTCGTTTTGACCTCACATGTAGGTGTTTTCAACCCTAAAAGTGAATTGATTTCAAATTTAGGGTTAATTGTTTTCTTAAAGATGATTTGTTCATAAAATGGATGATTTTGGATAACTTGCTCCTAGTACATGGAGGGTATATGGATGGTTATGGAGAAAGGTGAATTTTCTGAATTCTCAGGCTATGTGCATCCCAATTCTAGAATTTTTGTTCCTCTTTGCAGATGAAATAGTATCTTTTTTTTTTCTTTTTTTGACAACAATAAGTATCTTAGTATTTAGTCGTTGGGTCTTCAAGTTTGATAAAATTATTGTGAATAAGTTGATTTTATTGGTATGATAATGTAATTAATATTTAAGTTGACTGTTGATATATGAAGCTAATTTGATTTATAGAATTTGAGTTAGATTTCTAAAGTAAAATTCTAAATGAATGTTTGGTCAATTCAAGCCTAGTTAAAGTTGATGGTTCATCGTTACATGCTAAACTAATATTTGTTAGATACATCATGAAATAATATAAATTTAATTTATAAATGAAATAAAATGTAGTAATAATGTATTTGAACTTATTAAGTTGCTTCATAAAATAAAATAAAATGATAAAAATAAAAAGATAATTAATTTTTTTTAGTACAACGAATGTAGAGATAGAAGATTAAATTCCAATTTTTAGGAAAAGATAGAGCAAGATGGTTTAATGGATGAGTTATGCTTCGATAAGAAAAAAAGAATTAAGTACCATTCAATCGACAATAAAGGATATCAAAACGTGCTAATTTAATCAAAGTTTCATGATTAATCATTGAAAATAACCAAGGGTATAAATGGTCTAAAGATTATAAATATATTAATCCACTAACTTAACTTTAACTCAATTGATTAAAATATAAATAATAGGCAAATAATCCATTAATTTTTAGCTATTAAATACATGGGCATCTTGGTATCCTGATTCCATTTTGATTCTCTAAAATAAATGGCTTTAGGATTTAGGAACGTTTTTCAATATCATTAATATTTTTTACCAATTAAAATATTCTTCAAAATTTTCAATATGTTTCGACTTTGAATATCTATCAAAACAAAAGAAAAAGAAAAAGTGTTTTCGAGATTTCTTGAAAAATTAAAAGCCCTTTAATATTCTTACGAAAGAAAAATATAGTTTTGACGTCACCCTTTCGACAATCAACATTTAGGAGGGTATGTTTCAATCTATATGGTAAAAAAAAAAGATCTATATGATTTAAATAGTTAATAAGTTATTTAACTTTGAATCTGTATTTAATAGGATTTTGTCATTTATTCATTTATTACTTATACAACATGCTAAGTTTGTACCATTTATAAATCATTTAGCTGACTAACTTTAGATGTTATAAACTTAAATTAATAAAGTTTATGATAAAAACCAAATAGATATAAGTAATTTAGAGTTCAAGATTTTAATACAAAAAACAAAATAGGAACACGTACCAAAGTTTAAAGACCCATGAAAAATTTTCTAAACTTATAGACGAAATAAATCACATCAAAGAATAAACACACAATTTTCTAATATTTATAATTACCCCTATGAAAAATATATATTTATAAATATTTTTTAAAATAATGTTATAGTACTATTTTAGTCATCGTAATTTCAAAATATTTATTTTGATTCATGAATTCTTAATTTTGATTTATTTTATTCTCTATACATTTTGGTTACTTAATTTTTATTTTTAATTTTTTTCTATCACAATTTYAACCTGACATAACACTGTACTCAATATATTCATTAAAGAAATCAAATTAGTCCATAGAAACCAAATAATATTTTAATAGGAAAAAAATTGAGAGAGAGAGAGGAGAGGATACGGACCCTTTGGACTGTGGGGCAGTGCTCAGTGTTTTGGGCGGTTCAACAGAAGAATGAACATCCCTCAAAGTTCGCTAATGGCTAAACAAGCTTTGTCAAGACTTTTCAGTCAGCGGCAGCCACCACCGACGGCTCTCATCTCAGCTACACGGACTTCCCAAATGGTCACTGGCGATGGCCTCACAGAATCGCTGCGCCTACGCTCTTCTCTTCTTCCCCTCTCTCCAAGAATTGGGATATGGAGTGGTCAGTGGGGGTCGTTGAGGAGAAAATTAGAAACCGACCCAAAAACAAAAACTTCACGAGAAATTAATTAAAGAAAAAAGTTACAAGTGGGGAAAAGGGAGACGAAAAGTTGGATTGCATTAGCAATTTAAGCATCCACGTCGCATCGTATCGAGTAAAGAACCAGAGAAACAAAGTGGTATTTATATAATTGGGGAGACCTCGCCAAACTTCTCCGTCCACATTTCTTGTAAATTGCGACTACCCACGATATAGGTGAACTTCCTTTTGATTCCCTTTCCTTCTTTTCCTTCTTTTACTTCAATTTCTCCTTCCCCATTGGATTATTCCTCTTTTTCTTCTTCTATTTGTTGTTCTGATTTCTGGAGCGACCCAATTGCTGATGACCCATTTTTTCTTTCTTCGAATTTTGATGAGATTTCAAAGGCATGGGGAGGCTGTTCGTGGTGAGCCTGGAAGGGAGGATCTATAGCTGCAAGCACTGCCGAACCCATCTTGCTCTTTATGAGGACATCGTTTCCAAGGTTTTGATACTCAATATCTGTTTCCTTTTTTATTTCTGATCGGATTTTTTCCTATGGATTTTCATAACTTCCCTTTACTCTTTTCTGATGCGATTGACAATATTGATTGACCCTTTACTATGGTGAGAAAAATATGGTGTTTACTATTTGGTTGTTGTTGTTGTTGTTATAGAAGGATCAGCCCCCATCCCCATACCTCTTCTCGGGGCTCTACTTAATTTGGTGATCTATAATTGCAATCAGAAATTTGATTATATATGTTGGCTCTTGCCCTCTGAATATTGATTTTCTGACTGAAAGATACTAGAAATGGCATTGGGGAAGAGTKTTCTGACTTCATTTTTTCCTGTGTTTCTATTATTCAGTCTTTCCAAAGCAGACATGGGAAAGCTTACCTCTTCAATAAAGTGTAAGTTTTCCTAGATGATAGTTGTGTAGTTTGACCAATGTTTCCATTAAATAAATCCCTAATGTCCTTGATTTCTTTCCAATAACAAACTAAGAGAGAGGGGGGACGAAGGTCAAATTCTAACTTGTTCAATCTCTCCCCCTTTCTTCTTGTCATTCTGATTCATACATGTCGACTCCTCTTCCTTCACTATTGTTTTGGTTTTGCATAATTTTAGAAGTGAAGGTTCATCAGTGAGAAACTTTAACGAAGTTCCAAACTTATTTATTCGTTTGCTCTTTAAGATTTGAAGTTAATCTTCGTTTTCTTTTACAGAGTGAATGTAACTATGGGAGCGAAAGAAACAAGAATGATGATGACGGGAATGCATACCGTTGCTGATATCTTCTGTGTTGGCTGTGGATCAATTGTGGGATGGACATATGTAAGATATCGTAAAGCACAAAAGCTTAGAAGTTCTATGCTGTTATTTTCTTCTTTATGATGTCTTCTCTTGGTGGTCTTTGATCATTCACTTCAGGAAACTGCTTTTGAAAAGAACCAGAAGTACAAAGAAGGGAAATCAGTACTTGAGCGGTAAGTAAATATACATCAAATGAGACCCAAATAGATTACAGAGAGCTGCTTTGAATCATTACTTTAGGACTTGAATTGAAGCTGCTCAAAGTCCAAAAAGGCACCTCAAATTAATGTTTGGAAAGAACATCTTTCTTAGTTAGTCTAGAAAATGATCTTATTTGGTCCATTTAGTTTAACCCCTCAAGTATAAAAAATGTTTACATGGTTATTTTAACCAGTCTGCCAATAATCATTTAGTCAAAAATATTACATGAGAGATCATGAGACGTGTGTAATAGTTCATGCACTATTTTTTTACAGACATGGTAGACAATAGATTTGCTCTCTCATTAGAGACTAGAGACTAGAAGGAACCTTTTTCCGTAAGAACAGTTCAGATTTTCATTTTTAACATAAAGAAAGTCACTAAAGTCTCTTGATGTTGTTTCAACCATATACTAGTTCCATATCAGACATCTTCAGGAAGATCTCAGTTTTCAACTATAACCGTCCCGACATCGTTCTATTATCACATTGAATATTCATATCTTAGAAGTGTGCAGAGTAGCAATGTTGAATTTGGGAAACATATAAGTTAGTACAAGTTGTATGAACAGGTTCAAGGTGTCAGGCCCTGGTGGAACCAATTACTGGGTCAGTCATGCTCATGAAGCAGCTCATGGTGGAGTAAGTGATGCAGATGAAGCTTGATTAATGGTGATCCATATCATTCCAATTGTACATTCATTCTTCATACTCCCAATGTTCATATTCAACTCCATTGTTGTTCATCTGTCAATTCCTCATTTCAGTAGCTAATCTACTGCCGTTTGTCACAGAACTGGAAACATTTTACTCTGATTCTTCTGTAACTTAATATCACTACTAAATCCCTTTGCAATATGATGAAATGTTCATCAAATCTGTGGTCTCTGCCAATTTGACTCTATTATTTGTCATTTGTCGTTTTCCAATTTGATCTTTAATCTTTTTTTAATCAATTACTTATTGTCACTTGATATTAGGGATGCTAAATCTAATAAATTTGAGGATATGTGGTTAGAGATCTACATGATTAAAACGTTGATCGAAAATTATAAAAGGAAATAGAAGCAAGGGATCTGTTTGCTGCTTTGCTGTTTGATTTCTAAATTTCAATGTTGGAAGTTTGCAACTTTTAGTTAAGTTGAGCTTCAAATGCCTACCCTCTAGATTAGTACACGGATAAAACATAACTCTTCAACTTAAAAACATGTTTCGCTTCAACATGTTACTATAAAAGCGAACACATCCCAAACCCGCTTTGCCCAAATATAAATCTCAAAAGCAGTTCTCAACTGACATGAAAAATGAAAACAGGACTCAAAATGCCTTAGCAGTCTGTAATGTAATTTCAAATATAGTTGTCATAGCAAATGTATAAACAATCAACAGAGAGAGATCTGAAGTAATTCTGAGATAGCTTCAGGAATTGAAGTCTACAGGTCACCGAGGAATATAAACCATTCTTTCCGATAGCTCTTTACCAACCACTCTTCTGTATCTTAGCAACTGATTTTCCAATTTCGTTCTTGCGGAGGGTGAAATGGCTCCTTGTATATCCTTTTAACAAAAAAATATACAATAATAGGTATCAAAAAACAATATGACACAGAACATTTTCAACATCCAAAACCAACAAGAAGATAGTATTCATTTCTTTTGTTTTACCAAATATGGACTTGCAGATGAAGGATTGAAGCACTGACACGAAATCTTAATAACAAAATGACAGTGTATACCTTATATCTCATACGGGAATGGCCTATGCCGATTAATATATTTGTGATATCTCCATCTTCCATTTCAGAGGAGGCCAGACCACTGCTTTCTGATGAGGCCAAATCATCATCGGAACTACTAGAGTAAGACTCAATCATTGCCCCATCCTCATCCATATTAGCCTCATTTGGTTCTTCCAGAAAATCGTCATCATGTTCTAGTTCCATATCATTCGGCGCCTTGAGAACTGGTGATGATTCCCCATTTTGTTGGTGTGAAAAATCTGATAAGACCACATAAGGCTTTTGATCAAGCAATGGCTTCGCAGTCCCAAATGGAATCCACCTGAGGAGAAATACAACTAATGGGTCAAATTTGAAGTGGCTCATCATCAGTCATCATCAGTAGGAACGAGCAACTAATCTAAACTGCATTTGTGTACTTAGCTGCTATAACTACTGGTGTTTTTCCTGTGTGATTGCTGAGAGGAAATAATAAAATCAATTCCCCAGGAAATCATGGAATTAAGTAATTGAAATCACCCTCAATAATTCGACAGTTGCAGAGAAAAACTTACGTGTAACGAAGTGGACAAAGAAGCTCCGATGGGCGATATCCTGCCTTATATCTCATCTTCCCGCAGTTGTGAATATAGTAACCAAGATAATAATATTGAAGGCTGGCACAATGCATTTGATTTTGTTTTACCCATTCAATTTCTTGTAGGGCTGAGTACTTTCCCAGAGATAGGAAAGCATAGTCAGGGTCCCAGAATAAATATTTACTTGATAAACATCTTGGAAGGATGTCTACAACACCAACTGCAACTAACCTCCCGTCAATCACATATTGCTGGTGAAAAGAACCAAACCCACAGGGCGGAACTGTACCATCACCAGTTGGGGGAACAAAGTTGAGGGGGGAGTCAACCAGAAAATTCCTGTATGAGGTTTCAGATATACGACTTGGACTATCATTATGCACAAGAAGCTGATAACGTCTATACAGAGCGTATTCTTCCCGATCAAAACTGGACCTTTTCAGGCGTATCTCAAGCTTTCGTCTCTTCTGAAAAGAACGTTTAGAGTTCTTCTCCATACTGAAACCTTTACTTCTGCCTTTAGCAGATTCTGGAGAAATGGTAGCCTTTTGAGCACTATCCAGGGAGGAAGCTTCTCCCTTATCAGAATAAAAATTAATATGTCCATTGCATGCTTTGATTGAGAAACCAGATAACACTTCAACCTGGCTCAAATAATTTACCAATTTTTCAGCTATTGTTTTAGGGGTAAACCCAGTTTCTGCTGCTTTACACTCTGATGATGGTAAGTTATCATCATTCTTCTCACCAACTTGGGTGCGCTTTATGCTGGCAGACAATTGGAATGCAACGTTGCTGGAGTATTCAAGATCCTTAGATCCTTGAACCGGCCGTTTCCTCTTTGCATTGGAAACCCTTTTGACAGAAGCCTTTGGAAATTGTATATTACAGGGAAGTTCACCGCATTGGGTGCACAAACGTATGGCATCATCGACCTTACCAGACAGATGAAGCATAAAGCGGTCTTCCTCATTTTCTTTATTTATAAAGGACGAGTCCTTCTCTACCGAGTTAGAATCTTCACTGCCTGCATAGCTACATAAGCCCTTGGAAGCACTTGAAACTTCTGTGTGCTTCACTGGTTTATCATGCTCCAAGGTACCATCTAAAAACCTAAAGACAGATAAAAGTTCATCAGATGTTGACAGGACAGATGTTCTCAAAACTAACCTTGAAAGAGAGCTTAAAATTTAGCAATCTGAACTGAGCCAGATGTTATAGATTATTTATAACTTAACGGCTAAAAATGAAACAAGAAGCCATCCAGAATCTAGCATTCTAGAAATGTTAGACAATGTATTTACTCCCAAGTCTGATTCAAAAATCACTGAAATAAGGTAAACAAAGAGCGAGCAAATGGTTTTCCCTTTCTAATGGTCGAGTTTAACAAAAAGGGAGAACATGCTTTCATCTCTGTGACTATAACTTTTTGCTCAAGTGGTCAAATATATTCAATGTGAATAATGCCAACATATCTTCCACCTCAAAATGTTAATGTTAAAGAGAAGGATAGGATGTCAAGAACATGGATATAAAATTAAGCACCAAAATCCTTTAAGATCACACCTTTGAATTCGTCTAGATACTCGGAGTTGTTCTTTAGATGGAACAAAGTCAGATGCCTTCAAACGGATTGTATAAGATGGGCAACATGTCCTTTCCATCTCAGGTTTGTAGAGATAACAGCCCGACCTTCTCCAGCCACGATCAAGAAGATCTGTGAAACAAGTAAAAAATATTAATAAATAGAATTCAAGATCCTTTAAGCTGATCATGTATTAAAGAGAAAATATACAGCCCATAAAACTTAATATCACTATAAACTGCTTCAGGAACCCAATCAAGCATCAATATACTAAAATGTATTGACTTTTTTTTATTAGAAACCGATCTTTCATTGAGAAAAATGAAAAAGTAAACAAGGACATACAAAAAACAGAACGACCAAAGAACACTCCTTGGAGAAAGAGGCTCCAGTCCAAAATAAATACTAAAATATATTGATAAGAATACAAGCAGGATGAATGTTTTGAAGACAGGATTGACAAGGCAAGATGAACTGTGACAACAGAAAGGATGACCTAGAAAGACTGAAAGAAAAGCCAATAACACAAACCTTGGTAGTCATCGACAGAAAGATTGTCTAGTGCCCATAAACCTGCCATGAAAAAGATAACAAAGATAATAAAATCCAACATAAACAAAAATCAGGAATACTACAGTCTGTGGCAACGAGGCCTACAATCATTTTCACTTTCTGAGTTCTCAAACTGCAGCACAGAAATTAAAATACACAGTTCAAAGGATCAAGCACGGGAACCACAGAATGTATCAGCTAATGAGTATCTTGATTGTTCCTGTTTTAAATACATAATGCGGACATTTCCGTTTTCCGTCATCGAAAGCCTACAATTCATACGTGCCATCGGAAAAGATGCAATAATTTAGAGTGTAACAGGTAAGCAATACAGAACCCTTAACAATTGATTTACCGAGTAAACACAAAAGCAGTACCGAATTCTTGAATCTCATCACTCATGGACTTGTAATTCTACCACAGCTCATATTACAAAATAAAAGGGCAGAAATACGCCAAAACAGCACTCAGAACCATAAGAAAACAGAAAAAATTMTGCATTCTGTATTAAAGAATAACCCAATAAAAGTCCCAAAATAAAATCAAGAAAGAAAACGAAGACCCAGGAGCAGAAACAGAGGAACAATTCAAGAGATTCAGTAAATTAATCGGACCGTGAGTGATGCTAGTGCGAGCACCAGATTTACAGTAGCCACAAGAGGATTTTTGTCTTCTACAGTCAATCACCACGCTTTCCCCTCTCTCAGCGCCACCACTAGTGCTACTGCTCGCGTCGCTCCTCGTCTTTCCAGCCATTTCCGATTTCCTCCAACTGTATGAAAAGCTCCCGGCGACTCTACGACGTTTTCCGCATCAATCTAAGGCCTGAAAACGAAGACTTCCATGTATTCAAAGTCTGATTCTGTACAAGAATCGTCGTAAACAATTGAAATTGGAATTAAAATAAAAAACATTATTGTGATGACTACACTACACCCACGTTGGTCAAACAAAAAAGTTAGGGGTTTGGTTTTATTTGTAGTTATTTAATTAACTTGTGTTTTGGTGAAGGGTCAGGTGATATATTCCTTGGGATGATCCAGAAAGCGGAATCTTCCTATGAATTTTACTTCACGCCGTATCTATCGTCGTCTTCTTTGCGACTCGATTCGCCGTCCGGGAACTACCATGGAAAAAGAAAAACGGTTACCTTGAAGAAAACCAGATTCGCCGGCGATTAAACTTCAGCAGCTTCACGAAAAACCTAGGCTTATTGTTTGCATAAGCTCCATCAGTGGGCGTGGGAGACGAGCGTRCGTCCATTTTGTTTGCTTTCATTCTCCATTGCACTATTGGAATAATTTGAAGAACATTCTTTTTTCTTGGATGAACATAAACTTTATTTTTTATTTTTTTTTTACTTTTGAATACGATGAACATAAACTTTATATTATGAAGTACAGGTGAAATCAGAAAAAGAAAAAATATAATGATGTTTTATGAAATTAAATATTCATATTATACATCTCAAACAAAAAAAAATATTCATAAAATATTCATAATATAGTCAAGATTTTAACATATTCTCTCTAAATTCTTTTAATTTACCTAAGTTCTTTTAGACCAATAAATCATTTTTTATGATTTCAAAATTACGTGTCTCCGAACTATGAATTAAATAGTCTAACTAAAGTTTAATCAGCTAAACACTCCATGTCTTGGATGAAAACTGCACCACTAACCATTGAGTAGATTCTACGTTGAGGACTGTAGGTGAGGCCTCGAGATCGACCATTATTTCAAGCATGAGATAATTATGCTTATTAGCTTTTTTTTTTTTTATCTCAATCTGTTTTTTGTTTTATCTCTATGCTTATTGGCTTTGTAATCATAAAAAAAAACGACGAAATAGTTATAGGATGAGACCTTAGTATTATGATTTGACCCTTTCATGTTTTGAAGTATTATAATATTATATCAACATTCATGTCATATATCGATTATCGATTCCTTCAATTTTAAAAATATAACAGATTTGGTATGTCAATGGTATATCAACATTCACGTAAAGTATAAAAGGGGTCATYCTGGTTATTGAAGAGTAGTCCGACTGCTCGATAACCGAGAGAGATTTTTACCACTTTCTCTTCTCTCCAACGCTTTCGAACCGATCATCTTACTGCAACAAAACCAGAATTAGGAATATATTTAACCTTTACTTTACTGGGTTAGACCTCCAGATTTTGGTAGTTATACAAAATTGGAAAGTAATTATAAGTTTTACAAAATTATATTGGTTCTTTTGCTACTTTTGCAAGCGTTCCCATATTTTTTTAAAATAAAATTGATAACATTATCCATATCTTACTACATTTAAATAAAAGAATAAGATGTAAAATAAATCTGAAAAAGGTGAGAGAGTTAAAAAGGCGGTTATTGGAGTAGGTCTAATTCAAAATCCCTCCCTTTCAAAGAGATGAGATGTTAAAACTCAAAGCTCAAATATCTTCAGAATCTTGGTCTCAATTACAATTTCCGTAAACACAGAGGGCACAACTGCAAAGGAAAAAGAAACGAGAACAGGGGGCAAAATGGGGATTTATCCAGTATTTATATCGAGCCACCTAAAACTAAAAGGCCCAACACGAAAACGTAGACTTCAAGTGAGAGGAAAGAAAAAAAAGAAAAAAAAAGGAAAAAAAGAAAAAAAAAGGAAGAAGCATGGTGCTTAAGAACACCGGTATTTTCCCCGTTTCGCACTCCATACGGCATCGTTCGACCTGTGAATGTCACCTCTTTCTATTTTCTGAGCTCCATCGACCAACAATGGCGGATTCCGCAACCTCCGGCTCCTGATTATTCTGCTTTGATTTCGCCCACGTCTGCTTACTTCTCTCACTTTGGGACCTCTTTCTTACTGTGTTCTCTCTCTCTCTCTCTCTCTACAACTGCTTGTTGAAGTTTTGGGGCGCTGGAGTGAAGAAGTTTGTATATTCGGAGAAGGAAATTGAGATTTAGATGCGGATTACTCACCTGATAGGTCGTGTTTCGACGTGTTGTGGCCGGGGAGCTTTGTTGCAGATCTAATTGGTTTTGCATTTAGGTGTCGCACTGTTGAGGGATGGTTTGGTATGGGTGTTGTTCTGGGAGCTGACAGCGTAAACGAACAGCGTGGTTTATTTTTTTGTTTTTGGTTTTGAGGTATTCTTGGTGATATACCTGTGATTATCGAGATTTTTTGGGCACGGAACTTGGGGGATTTAGAGATGAATCGTAGTTTTAGGGCTTTGGAATCGCAAATGCAAGCTCCGGTGAGGCAGCGGCAGCAGCAAGTTGGGGGATTAAGGGCGTCGGTGATGAAAGATAAGGAAGAGGARCTCGCGTTGTTCTTGGAAATGAGAAAGCGTGAGAAGGAGAGGAATGATCTTCTCTCTAACAACGCGGAAGAGTTCGATGCGCCTTTAGGTATGGCCTTTGTTTTAAACTTTGGACTTGCACTTCAACTCTGAGGTTTTGCTTTGTGGCATTGTTCTGGAGATTTCTAGAATCCATCCTTAATCGAGAGTTGAAAAGCTTTTGTAGCCCTCGTTTCTTTTGTCTATCAGATGAATACTGATCCAGAAAGGAAAGGAGTAATCCGCTGTTTTCTTTGACGCCTAATTTTGCTTGTTCTACTCATGTTTTATCGAATTCAATTTTCTGTTTTGTGCAGGAACAAAACCAGGAACTTCTCCAATATTTAACATCGCATCAGCAACCCCAGCCCCTACTCGCAAGACTGGTGCTGATGATTTTCTTAATTCTGACAATGATAAAAATGATTATGATTGGTAAAGCTTATCACCTTACAGTTCTCGCTTTAGTTAATAGAATGAATATTCCCTATAGAAAATTGCTGCTTTTATCCTAGATTACACAATCATTCATAAATTGCTGCTCTCTTACACCGTGGACGAACAACATAACTTAAGAGAAGGGAAAAAATAATAATAATAATAATAATACAGGGTACTTAAGACCATTTTAGAAATATGTGTATGCTTTGTAAATTGTACATACCACAAGGGTTTAATTTGCAACCCTTTTTAATGTTGTATATTAGTTGTCGTACTTGTATCATTAGTGGCCTGAGAGAGATATGAATGGACCAAGTTTTTGAACTATGGTGTAAAAGAGTGTGGCTCTGATGAGCTTTAGCTTGGCTCTCATGTTAGTGATGTGAGAGAGATATGAACTGAAGTTGTTGGGGATGTCCATTTTTTGTTATTTTTTCTGCTATGGCACTTATGTTGTGTCTCTTTGTTTCTACTCGATTACTACTTATTTATACTTGTTGAAAAGGAATTTCTTTTATTTAAGGGATGAAATAGGTATTTGGAAGTTTCTGAAGGCGTGGGCAGATAATTTTCTAGAAATCCACTTGTTAACAGAGAACATCTACCCTAGCTTGACTATTATTTAATTGTAAGAACAAAAGCCTACCTAAGATTTCTGGACCATTGAACGTGCATCATGTGCTTTGTGATATGGATAAAAATGTGCTGTGTGGATGAGGTCCATTCCTTTGGCTTTAGCTTTATTGATGAGGATGACAATGGCATGTTTAGACTTGTCAGGGATGGAAAAACTAGAAGGCTCTTCCCTCTCAACTTCTGAATTTTAGAGAGGTCTCAAATTTAATGGAAAAGGTCTCAAAATTTTCCCATGTGATACTGCATGACCTCAAGCACTTCTTTGTAAAAAAAGGTAGAATTCTTAAAATTTATGATCAATTTCACTTCTAGAATAAGCACACCATTAATTAGTGGTCGAAGCGTCAAGCTACTGATTTAGAAGTCTTTGAGGTCATATAAGTTTAAATCGTGGTTGCCCCCTATCTAGGAAATTGGATTATCTATATATTTCCTAACATGAAATGTTGTAAGGTTAGCCCGTTCTCAAATGGGGATTAGTTCAGGACTGTGTGAGCAAGTCTAGCCAAACCACTGCTATAAAGCAACCACACATATTTTGCAAAAATGTTGATTTTGTGGTCGAAATTTTGGACATGATATAATAATATTTGTGGTCGAAACATGATATAATAATATTTGTGGTCGAAAGGAGCTTTCCGTTGGCATCATTTTTGAAGCTATAGTGTCTATGGTTGT